CACTTTAACAATTCAAATGTTTTCTTTTTTAGGGATATCAATCCTCACATACCACAGTATATAAAATCTGTTCCTTGGTACCTTGGTGAAGATCGGTAAGCAAATTTTGTGATGTCCCTAATAACTCTGAATTAACAATATGGATTATTTATGACATTAACCTTGTGTATGTCATCTGACTGCCCTTAAAAGTCATATTATAGCTATGAAACTGCATTTTAACATTTTTTTTGCATTTAGTCCAACACTAAAGCATCAAAGGCCTCAGGCTGAGAAGCAGAAGAAATTTGCAGGACTTGATGATGTTTATATCAGAGGAAAAACAGCAGTTAGTGTTTTAATGTGATATATATAATTTACTTAAGATTCTATTTTCAAATGCTGTTTATTTATGCTCCTTAACAAGTATTATTTCAATTATTTGTCCCATTTACTGTTTAAATTAATATTATCTTTAGTATTGATATGGCTTAATTAGCTTCACATTTCCAAGACCAGCAATAAATTTAACTTCCCATCCTTTCCTGACCATTGATTAAGTCAAAAGCTATCGGTTCATTTTTGGGATTCACCTTTGAGATGATATTAACTTATGTTGTCATAAATTTAATAAGCTGCTTTTGCTGTTTCAATCAACCAATGAAAGTACCATGCATAATACAAACATTCTATTACAGGGAAAAGCTGCTACAAAATTCAGAAAAGGTGCTTGTGAAAACTGTGGTGCCATGACACACAAGAAAAAAGATTGTTTGGAGGTAAAAAAATGCAGAATTCTGCCCACCCCTTCATTTGCAATCACAATTTACCAAACAAAGCAATACATGTGTCTTCTTGTTTTCAAAACTTGTTTGTATTTTTCTATACTATTCAAAACATTGCATCTTTTTTGCTTAAATCTTTCTTACTTTTTTATTCTTTTAGAGGCCAAGAAGGATTGGTGCCAAGTTTACAGGGGAGGACATTAAACCAGATGAAATTCTTCAAGTATGTAGACCTTTCATATTTATGCCAAAAGCAGTGCCACAGGGTGGACTGGGGTGGACATGTCCACCACCACCACCACATTATTGTTTGAAAAAATGTAGACCACGCCTAAGGGAGAAAATTTGTCAAATGCGATGCGAGTCCCTATAAAATTTTTACAGGAAATTGTTGACCAAGTTAGATGCAGCCACACTACAGCTTCAATAAATCAAAAAAGGTTTCTTGCGAGTGCTCCAGTAGTAATTAACCGAGAAGTAGGTGAACAAAAAAAATGACGTTAGAGGGGAGCTATTTTGTCTGTTTTATTTCACCATGTTTACACCAAGGGACAGTAAAAGACATGAAACTCGACACTGAGCAATGTTTTGCAGCTCAGCATTCTGTCAAACAAAAAATAAAGAGTGTCTTACACAAGTCTAAAGTAAAAATTTACCTGCGTAAAAGGGAACCATTTTTACAACGATTTATTTCCAAACAAGATTTTCTGTGGCGTCATTCAAGTCCAGATTTTTACATTGTTGAAACTGTTTGGCTTCATATGAAAAAATTCCAAACCATGATTTAGAAGGTTTTTCAAGAACCAAAGAATTGTTAATTGAAAGAATTCTTCAGGTTTGGAATGAAATTCCACAATAATACATTGCCAAATTATATGCAACCAATTCAAGAAGGCATAAAACGGTTTCAAAAGTTCAGAGCTCCCGTCAAAATATTAAAATTTGAAACTGTTAAAAGACGTTTTGAAACTGCTATTTTAAAAAAAGTGCTCTAAAAAGATTGAAGTTTTGATTGGTGGTTGTTTCACTTCTGACACACTCCCATTCGCCACCTAAAACAATCAATTCGCCCAACAATAGCTTTTGATAATTCTTGCGCCATTTTCTCTCCTTCGAGGTGGTGCAATACTTTTATGAGGGGAGTGTACCTACATTTTCTTAAATTTTTGGGGTCTGAGCAAATTTTGAAAAGCCCATGAAAGGCTGTTGATTTCAGTCTTGTGTTTGAATTGAGTAGTATCATCTTTAGATAATAGAATGGCTTCATATTTCACATATTGATTCGATAAAAAATTTTAGAACATTTAGAAGCCATATTGCACGTTGGCTAATGTGTTTTGTACCACCCATTAGGTTTTTCCTCTTGCCCTCCTTTGAAGCAAATTGTCAAAAGTAGCTACCAGCAACTAGGGTTGCTGAGAAGGGGAGGAAAAGGGAACTAATTGCACCAGGACCTCAAAAGGGGCCACAGAAAGTGATGAATTCCATTTTAAGAATGGAATAAATCAAACATAGAAAAAAGATGCCTAAAAATAGTGAAAAGTTTTAAACAATGGCAAGAATTGACTGCAAGAAATATTCTGAAATGCATTTTAAGCTAGTCTGAGGGGCATGGTCACAAAAAAATGTTTCCTTGCTTTGCTTGCAGAGGGCCTCCTTTTATGCTTTCCCACAGAGCCTCAGAAACCACTCAGTGCCTCATCCAATGACTGTACTCAGATTGTTGCCTCTTATGAAAGAAGTTACTCTGTGCAAAAAAAATTAAAGAAAAAGAGTGAACGAAAGTCCATCATGTCACAAGACCATGTTGTTGCCTTATGCCTAATGCAGTCCTTTTCGTTTAGCGCGTGCGATCGCACCCGCACACGCCTGCACACGCGCAAGTTAAATTGCGCGTGCTTTTGACCACACGCGCAAACAGGTGTTTTTGCAGTTTTCTGTTAAAGGGCCTCTCCAGCCAAATTTTGCACTTGCATTTTATTGGCAATTTTTATAAAGAAGTTGAGCCTGCTGATCACGAATTCGTTATTTGTTTTCGATATTTTTTTACAGTTTGTGAGATATAAGCTCTTGCATTTCGATAATTTAATTGAATTAACCGACAAAAATTTTTTGTTTGGTGACACTGTGACGCAATTTTGACGTCGCAGTGTATTTCGGATAGTCTCGCCTCAAACCGAATCGAACGACGGCGATTCGCAAATTGAACACTGCAAGTGATGGTACTTTCAGTTCTGTTCCGCCAGCTTTTAGTTTGAGCATTTCAGACACCAATTCTGAAGCCTTTAGTTGTTCATCGTTTCTGGAGAACAACTGAAGTGACAATTTCGATTAATTATACGCGAGGGAAGAGCTGGAACAGGAACTGGAACTGGATGCAGTTATCAACGCGTGACCATGAGTCCTTCACGCTTCGGTGGAAGATATACGAAATTCATGGCGAACGAGAGCCGCACATTGTGACGCCAGAATGTCACCAAACTGATTCGGCTTTTGTCGTTTTTTTTCTCGGAAAGGTGCAACTGTAAGGCCTTACAACTTCTAAACTAATTGGAATTTTTCAAAAACAATGACTTTGTCATAATACACGCACCAGATGCTAACTTTTAAGTCATTAAAAAAAATTTTTTTTTTGCTGGAGAGGCCCTTTAACATCAATTTCCCATGGTCTCATGATTGTTTATCCTTTCCCTTGTTACTTGATTCGCACTTTTGACCACAATATGATTTTTCCAATTTTCGGAAGTGATGTTTGGCTTTTGACTGAGTGCTCCATTGAACTTAGCGTCTCGTCTTTAAGCTAAGTCGCTATTAGCATGTTAAGTGTAATAACTGATTTCCTGTCAAAACGTAATTAGGCCCTGAAAGCAAGTAGCTGTTGGAA